CATCATGGCAGAAAGGCATGGCATAGTGGGAACTCCTCACCTCATGATGCTGGGGAGGCAGAGCTGAGAAGCTGCGCCAGAGGAAGGTGCTAAGGATGACATGTACACTTCTGCTCACACTCCTGGAAATCTGCTCCCTCCACTTGGATCCCACCTTCCAGTAACCATGATTCAGTCACTTTCTCAGAGTCCATCAGCACACAAGCCCTCAAAATGATGAACCTTTTGAGGAGACGCAGTGAATCCCAACCACAATAAGTTCTGTTCGCTGACCACTGACGCATGGTAGCTACAGGGACTTTCCATGTCTTGTGGTCCATGGGACCAGTGGTGGTTTGATTTTGGGAGAGGATGTTCTCTACCTCTTAGAATATCTCCGTTGCTGTCTAGTGTTATGTTGCTAATTCTGGATCTCTTGGCTGACTTTTGTTGTGTTCCGTGCTGTCTACATTTGGAAAATGCTGCAGTAATCATGGAAGTTGAAGTATCTCGGACACCTCCTGATTACAGTTGCTTGGATGTGTGCCTAGTGTTGTGATGAGAGGGTTCCATGAGTCACCTGGTAGTTCTGTGTTTAATTTCCTGTTTCAGTTCGGCCCATGTCACCAAATGAGTGCAAGTATTTTCCCACATCCTCACCAGCATCTGTTACTCTTTTGGTTGTAGTACCCATTCTGACAGGTGTGAGATGATCTCTCATGGTGAGTTTGATACACGTGTCCTGACAGTTACTGATGTCAAACATCCTTTCACATGTTTCTGAGACATTTGTGTATCTTTGTAGGACAAATGCTAATGAAACCTTCTACCTAGCTTTATTCAGTTTATCTGCTCTTTTGTTATTGAGTTGTAAGAGGCACTTATGATTTACCCATTAAGCCATGAATCATGTGGATGGATTAATCAGTTCATTAAGTCAGAATGCAAATCCTTTTTAAAAACCCTTACCTGGTGCCTCCTCTAACATCTCACAATGGAGACTAAATTTCCTGAGCGGGTACAAACCATAGCAGGTGAGATGGAGACCCTGTGGTGTTTTGCAAGAATGTTGGGAAGACACAGCTATGCTAATGTCTTCAGGAAAATCCTGCTCCTTTTTTAGTTGGTACCTGAGCATCCCGTTATTTGCAAAACTGACCTCATCAGCCAGAGTAACATTTTCAATATCTTCTGTAACCTGCATCCTTAAAAACCTCAGTATGTCTTTGCTGTGTACTCTAGACATCTCTTGAACATTTTCTAAGGCCACACAGAGTGAATCTGTTGTGAATATGTAAGAAAATACAGATCTGTTAGCTCAACAGGAAAGAAAATAAAACCACAGAAACACAAAAGGCATAAGGCTGCAGCAGAGGGTACAGGCAGGAGGAGAAGGTGACTGAAGAGGAGAAGTCTTCTGTAGACAGAGTTCACTCTGTGGTTTTAAGCTAACTGTGATCCTCCACACAGTATCCTGGATTTTTGTTTTCTTTAATCAATCAGCCTTTCTGTCCTGGAATCTGGGAGCTAATCGGTAACTCTGAATCTCAGCAATGCTTCAGCACATCATTAAACACACGAACAAAATGTGTGATCCATTGTTTTGCTCTTGAGCTTATCATCATCGGAGAAGTCAGAGAGAAAGGCAGAGTTGCAAATTCACCATGTGTTAAATATCAAACCTTCAGTGTGTACTGCTGTGTATTTTCTGATAAAACCCTTCTGTTATTTATTGTTACCAGTAAAGAGACTGAGGCCATCTCGTTCTGGCCTCCTCATCTTTTCTTTTACATCCCATCCTGCTGAGCATCTGTTCTTTGCTGTCTGGTACCAAGACTTCCTCAAATATGGTGAATTCATCACAATCGTGAGAACAGTGTTAGATGGTTGCATCACCAAGGATGCTGAGGGCACCGTATGGAAGACACTCGTTATGAAATTTAGTAAATTTGAAATTGAAGAAAGCCTTAGGAAAGTTCCGATGACTGGAAAATGGCCAAGTTTTTTTTCATTTGGAGGTTGAATAGAGCTCCTAGACAAAGGGAAAGAGAAATGGCTCCCTGCCCCATGATAAATTTTGTGGTGTACCCTTCATATCTGAAAGCACCCATGGGGGCCAGGGGTGTTGCTGAGTGGTAGAGCTCTTGCCTTCTATTTATGAGGTCCTGGGTTCAATCCCCAGCTCAACCATCACCAATTAAAAAAAGAAGAAGAAGTAGTAGGAGGAGGAGAAGAGGAAGGAGAAGAAGGAATAGAAGAAGGAGGAGGAGGAAGAGAAAAAGAGGAGGAGGAAGAGAAGAAGAAGAAGAGAAGGAAAAAGGAGGAGAAGAAGAAGGAAGAGAAGAAGGAGAAGGAAGAGAAGAAGGAGGAGGAAGAGAAGAAGAAGGAAGAGGAGGAGGAGGAAAAGAAGAGGAAGAGGAAGAAGAAGAAAGCAAAAGCACCCATGCCATCTTGACATCTTGCCAAAGTAGTTAAAACTAAAACCAGGATAGGAGGATTCCAACTAGAAACTCACTGTAATACACTCTAACTGTAGTGGGAGGATTGATGTGTAACAGGCTGATACACATCATCATGTTAACTGCAGCCCATTTTATCCATGGTGGCATCACTTCCATGTGGGATGTCAAATCAGGTTATATGAAAACTCTTTAGACTTCTGAAGCATAGACACATTCAAGAAACCTGAAATGCTAACGTATGAACCCAGTATAGGTTCCTGTGTCAGAGACCCTTGCGGTGAACTCCAGTCTCCTGCCTGGAGATATTGTGCATGGGGGAAAGAGAACAAGAGGCAAATTAGGATTGCAGCAAGGAGCTGCGATGACCAGTTGTTTGCGAGGAACAAAAAACCATGAGGTGACTAGAGTCTTCTTGTTTATTTATTATATCTGAGTCACAGACAATGGGTGAAGGACAGAGTGTTTCCAGGAACAGTAATGGTGACCATGGTGGGCTCGTGAGAAGAACCAAGCATTCTTGTGAGGACAAGGAGGACACGGGATTGAGGGAGTGAAGGGACAAGGAAACTAGTTTCCCCAGGTGCCTTGTCCTCCCCAGTGGGTTTTATCTTGCTCTGTGAATATCACAGCTCCACAGTCTCTAGCTCTTGGACTTTTAGCTGTAGCCAGAAAATAGCAGGGAATTCTCACATTGCAATCTGGCTCAAAAGGCAGGGCAGATATCGCTGTGACATGACATTTCAATTCTTCTGGGAAGATACTCAAAAAGGGAATAGCTGGATTGAATGGAACTTCCAGCCCTAGTTTTGTGAGGAATCTTCACACTGGTTTCCACAGTGGCTGCACCAGTCTACACTCCCACCAACAGTGGAGAACAGTTTCTTTTTCCCCTCCGCCCCGGCAGCATTTGTGTCAGTTGATTTCTTGATAACAACCATTCTTTTTGGGGTGTGATGGAGTCTCAGTGTTGTTTCAGTTTGCATCTCTTGAATGACAACTGATGTTTAATATTTCTTCATGTATTTATTTGCCATTTGTATTTTTTCATCTGATAACACATGTTCAACTCAGACGCCCATTGTTGTTTATAGCAGCACAATTTATAATAGCTAAATCTTGGGAACAACCCAAATGCCCATCAATCTGCAAATTGAATAAAAAAGATGTGGTATTTTTACACAATGGAATAGTACTCAGGTAAAAAGAAAGGTAATCTTGAGGCTTTTATACATAGATGAAGGCAACTTGAGACCATAATCTTAAATGAAATAAATCAAACTCACATTTGTAAATATTGTGTTGTCTCCCTAGTATAAAAATTTAAAAAACTGAAAGAGTAATAAGACCCAAAATGAACAATAAATACTGTGATAATGAAAGGGAAAGAAAGTGCTCAAAAGAACAGAACAACTTAAATAGGGGAAACAACAAAGGGAAGAAGGAAAAGATTTTATATATATATATATATATATATATATATATATATTTATATAATCTTTGTGGGTTCCTCAAAGAGCACATTTTGTACTGTCATTGTTTGATCTTTGATCATTTTTATGCCTAAATCTTTTAGCCTGAACAACTACTTCTAAGATAACAATATGCAATGTATTCCCTAGTCTTTTTTTTTTTTTTTAAATCAGTACCAGAGATCAAACTTGCAACCGTCTGCTTGCATGGCAGGTGCTTATGCCGCTCAGCTAAATTCCCAGCCCCATATTACCTAGTCTTAATTCCCTACTGTCTTCTTTTTTGAAATTCTGTGTCATTTCTATCCTTTTTTCTGTTGCTTTTTAAAATTATAAAAACAAGCAGGACAATGACAGCCTTGGATGTCCCCTAGACTCAGTTTATAATTTGTGGCTCCCACCATTCCCCCTGCTGTTTATTTGATTGCAGAATTTGAATCAGATTGAGGTGTGACAGCAGAGCCTTTAAATATTAGTGGCTTTCAGATGAGTGCAGCAGAGGAAAACTACAACCAGAAGACATAAAAAGAAATCATTGTGAGTATAGCCACATAAAACCATGAGTGAGCCTTGAGATATTTGAAAGCATTCAGCTGGCTGAGGGCATCAGAAAATGTATCCCAATCCTGTGTTTGTTCATCAAAATGTTGAGTTTTCTGTGAGACAAGGACAATAGTTCTTGATGTAACACACCTAGGTCCAATCATCTCTAAAGTGAGCTGTCTGGATGAAGGGACCGTCACAATGGAAACAGCATCATTAAAGAGACTATTCCGGCAATAATCAGGCCAATCATTCTTTTAATGCCACATGCAAGATGATTCAGTGTCACATCAGAGTGTGTAACCAAAGCTGAGTTAGATTACCAGTGATCCACACCTTGGCATATATCCCAGGACCATGAAACTTTTAGCAATAACTTCTCCTGCTTGCATGCAATGATTTGCAGCATATTCTGTTCATGAAAAGGAAGTTTCTTGTAAGGATTGTACATGTGTATTGAAGTTCTTTGGCTGTCATCTGTTTAGCTCTTTTAGTAACAGTGCTGTTGTGGGGTGCATATTGTGACCCACCTTTATTTCTCCCACAGCATAGGGCAGGGCAAGTTTCTGGACAGGAGTTTGGTGAGATTTGCCATTAAGCAAAGCCTGAGGGATGTGATAAATCCAGCACCCTCCCAGGTAAGCTCCCCTTGATGAAGGGTTTGTATGGCCGACATGTTAACCCATTTTCCCAATGCCTCACGCCAATTAGAAATATTGTTACCTCTTATAGAGATCCTCTAGATCCCCAATCTATAAAATTATATTGGCCCATAGACATTTTCCATCCCTTTTACTCTTGCAGAGTCCCCAAGGAGCAGGGGTAACTTTTGCAAAATTAATCCTCCAATAAGTGCAGTACAATAACATACAAGCCACACTCCCATCTGCCCACACTAAAAAATTGCATAACACTGTCAGAAAAAAAAGTCTTTTCACAGAAAGGGACATTATAGGTAAAGGAATCAATCTGTTCACCCATGACACAGATTGAACCAAGGATCAAAAGAATTAATTAATCATGATTATGTATCAGCCAATCTTGGGCACCCACAGGCAGGCAATAATTGGTCTGTATTGTCTAATATTCTGCACACAGTGGGGAGGTAAGTGAAATTATAGCTATATATATATATATATATATAAAGACATATATATATGTCTTTTTAAGTTAATATTATAACATTTGTTAATGCAATGGGTTAATAGAAACAGCAGAGAACCAAAGAATTAAAATGCAAGCTATATAAAATCCCAACTAAAACCCAAAACTGTTTCATGTATTCATTCACTAGCTAGCTAAAAGCCAAAAAAAGACAAGATACCCAGTATAATAAAATACTGCAAAACAATGGCCAATTTTAAGTTATCAAAATCATGAATTTTGTATTTTGTATCCTTTTCTCAATCAAGCAGAGAATTATTTTTGAATGTTATATAACATACATATAAAAATGTTATAAACTTGTAACAATGGCTGTAAATACATTATCTTACGTGTTACTCATAGGCAATGGGTTGATTATGGTATATTCATAGCATGAAATCACTACACTAATAAAGAATAGACAAAAAATACATGTCAGCAGTACAGTAACATATAAGCGACACTGCCATCTGCCCACACTAAAAAGTTGCATAATACTGTCAGGAAAAAGTTTAAAAACTACATACCTTAATAAGAAATAAATTCAATAAATAATGATAATACTGAGAACCTAGGCAGAGATTTCAAAAGTCATGCATTTTTGTTTCGTTAATCCAAAAAAATTGTCAACCAAGTTTTCAAAGGCTTGTTCTGAGCCAACATTACTTATAAATGTCCCACACTTATTATTTAATACATTTGCTTTCTTCCCTATAAAAGACCTTTGATAATCATCTAAAAATATCCAGGTTTAACACAGTTGAAATGAAGCTGTTTCAAACAGTGGTTTTGTTTTTAACTATCACCTCAAGTATTGGATTGTTTGCAAATTTATTCAGCCAACCAAACATAATAAAATCAAAATTGCACAGCATCCACTATAAATAAATAAAAAACAATTGTATGTGTAATAGAAAGACAAAGCAGTGACACATTAAACCAAGAGTAGTAGAGTCCAAAGAATGGCTGTCTGTTGCATAATAAATAAACTGAAAACAGTTCCAAGTGAAACAACAAAGAGGTCACCGTGAAGGTGCAGACCACGTTTCCTGCTGACCTGTCCTGTGAAGCTGTGAAGATATGGAGAGGGAAGGAATTGATGAACTGGAAGTCCACTACCACTGGAGATTTGCCATGCCTGGTACTGAACAGTTCACGATTATTTCCTCAAGTGTTTAGATATAGGTTTTGTGCAAAAACTGTTTCAATTATAAAACTGATTGACCATCGTGAGAAATCGGAAGCTTAAATTTTTTGTCTTCCTGAGACAAGATTTCACTATGCATTGTAGGCTGGCCTTGAACTCACTGTGTACCCCGGGCTGGTTTCAAACTCCTAACAATGCTCCTGCCTCAGCCTCCAGAGTACTGGGGTTACAGGTGTGCACCTCCATGCCTGGCTATGAGAGCTATAACTTATGACACCTTACTCTGCATCTCTAATGATGATGGACCAGGTACTGAATCAACCTGACTGTGATACACTTGTGATTTATGATAGATTTCAGGAGGAATGATGAGCCATGTAATGGGTCTGAGCAGGGATGGCTTAGGCACAATATGCCCAGTACTGTTTCCTGTCACAGGACTTATTTATGCAGTGCAGGCTATGATATCCACATAGCGGTGAACACATTTTCAGGGGTACGTGGTGTCACCAGCATCCTCGCGTCTGTGCTGTCTCCGTCAGTTGCCTTGGATCACTGGGCTCACATCCAGAGCAGAGACAGCTTGGCAGTAGTTGGGGCCTCTCCCAGTGTCACACAGGCAAAGCACTGTCATCAGTGGGTTGACTGATGGCCTTGCTTGTAGGTACCACCATGTTCTCATTCTGTGTCTCATTTCTGTAACTACCTATGGTGATAAAGCACATCCTCCTTCCCGTGCTACTAGCATGGTGGGGCCATTAACTGGACCTATCTGAAGACCATGCCTTGGGACTCTAAGGAGGGCTGGTACCTTCAGCTGAAAAGAAGACTGTTGCCAGTGAAGCATAGCAGAGGATGATGAGGATCCAGGAGCTGACTTCAAGGCATTTAAAACCTAAGTCACTGAATCTATTTGCATCTCTGATGACACCTCGGTTCCCCCTTTTGATTTGCTTAATTATCATTTTAAAGTCAAATGATTTTTTTTTCAGTAATCACTTTTCCCTGGGGGCTATAGGGAATTCTGATTATGCACTTAATTCCCCAAAGCTGCAAAAATTTTTGAGTGGATCTGCTAATATAACCTGGTGCATTATCTGTTTCTGTGGTCTTAGGCAAAGACCAATGAGCAGTGTTGGATATGTTGGACCTTTGATCCTTTGTAACCTAAGGAACACATTGTAGCAGGAGCAGGAAATTTAATTGTTATAATTTTATTTGGATGTCAAGTACATTGAAATATGAAGTATAGGCAGAAGACTGGTATTCCTGACCAACCATTGTTGACCTAATTGCTTCCCTATTTGTTGCCCTTTAATGCGATGTCACTGAAGAAATTCGTGACATTGTCTGGACTTCTTAATGCCTAAGCATCTCTAAGTGTAATAACACATGTGTAGCAAACATCACAGAAGCCTTTTTTGAAAGAATTAGTCTCATATAGGATTGACATACACCTTTTATTATACATAGCAGGAGCACACAAGAAAGGCAGATATCTGAATCTAAAAGAAAACACCCAGTTTTACATTATAGGAAACCTGTACGTCAGGCAGGTGTGAATACATTTAATATGTTATATTTACCAGTAATGAATTACCATAGCTGTACAAAACCTTTGGCTTCTTAATTTAGTTTCAAGCCAAAGGCATATTTTAATGAGAAAACCTTATAATTTTAATTACAAAAAAATCTTTGGTCAATCAAAGTAATGTGTTTAACAGACTTTACTGGGGTGTCATCCATAAGGCTAGGGCACCCTGGGTCTTCCAGGCTGGCCTAGAAATTCCACCCTCAAAATCTGAGGTCAGGTAGCAGAAATCTTAGGCTGAGTAATAGTAGATGAGGTGTTGATTAACGTTGTGTTGGAAACTTTGTTCTCAGGGTCTAAAGGACCCTCAGCCTCAGTGATAGGGGATGCCTTAAGGACTGGAGGTGTCTGATTTTCCTGTGACTCACAATTACATCTGAACTGAAGGAAAGTTTTTTTTTTTTCTTTTTTTAGTGCAGGAGGCTATTTTGACCATTGTTTTCTCTTACAGTACAATTTCAGTTGTGGAACAGCATCACAGTTACTATTTTCTTTGCATCAACAGTCATGTTTAAAGAAGGAAACATTACTTAGCCCTAATCCATTCTTTAGCAGTTCTTTAAGAAAAGGCACTAAATGGTTCCAGGAGAACATGGCGGATAGATAACAGCAGCTACGGAGGCTCTCCGTAGCTTAGAATTCAGGAATGGTGCAGTGTGAGGAGTCCTAAGCAAGGGGAGATATACCCTGACCCAGGAACGAACTAAGCTGAGAGAAACCAACTGGAAATGCAATCCTGGTGCTATAACTGGAACATAAAATCTCAGTGCGGAAGCTGGAACTTGCACCTCTGGAAACTGTGATTTGAATCTCCTGCCACTGCTGCTGCGTCGGAATCAGCAGAGCAAGGAGAGAGACATGCAAAAGCTCTGAGAGCGGGAGTCAGCGAATGTAGTTGAGAGCAGGACTGGCGGGGAGCCCTGCATCGAACTGTGGTGAGTGAGAGGAATGGGGACCTTCCATAGACTAGGAGGCTCCAACAGAGGACATTCTGGGAACCAGGCAGACTAGGTGAAACAGGAACGCTACAGTAACTTTAGTTGCATATTCTTCTCTCAAGCGGGATTGGTGGGGAGCGCTTGGCCTGGGGGATGCCACGGACTAAGACCCAGTAGGCTAGCCCAAACCAGGTCCCAGCACATGGTGGTGCACCCTAGCAGTGAAGCCTTCAGTAGGTTGACCTGAAGGGGTGGGCCCAGCAGAGGCTACCCAGGTCTGTGTCTCCCTAGTACACTGCAGTGGGCAGGAACACCTAGCCAGTGGATTCAAACAAACTGTAATCAACAAAGAAAGAAACTGGGCCTCCTATATATGCTTGTATGGAAGGAACAAAAAGTATGGGAAGAGGGAGCATCAAGAAAGAGTCCTCGGCCCCCAATCCTGAGAACACTGATCCAGGAAAGGTAAATGCAAATTAGAATGAGGACAGAAAACATGCAATATCAGACATGGCACCAATAGACATAAAGTGATGTCTCCAGAGCCTCATAGACGAGTTCAAAAGTGAAGTATTTAACGACCTAAAGCAAGATGTAAGTAGAATAGTTAGAGAAATGCTAAGCACCTCCCAAGAAAAAACAGATGGTGGAATGGAAGAACAGAAAAAAAGGGGAGAATTGTTTGATGGGGAAAATAGAGAAAACATAGAATACGTGAAGCAGGTTCAAAGAGATTACCAGGAAACTAAAATCTCTACTGAAAGCTGGCATAACAGCTTGTAAGAAACTAACGATAGATTATCTGAACTGGAGGACAGATTTGTAATGTGGGAGCATGAAATGAAAAACTTCTTAAAAATAATAAGGAAACAAACAGCAATAATACAAAGACTAGAAGATGATAAGAGGATCTATAACTTAAGAATTAAGGACATAAAAGAAGAAGTAGGGACACAAACAAATGAACTAAAAGGCTATTCACAGAAATAATCCAGGAGATTTTCCCTAATGTAGCAAAAGGTAAAGATACTCAGATGTATGAGGCATACAGGATGCCAGCCACCTACAACCCAAACAGAGCTACACTGAAGCATATAATAATTCCAGAAATGCAATATAAGAACAAAATATTAAAAGCTGTCAGACACAAGAAACAGATCACTTACAAGGGAACACCCATCAGAATTACAGCAGACTTCTTGGCACAAACCAAGTCACGAAGAGCATGGGAGGAAATAATTCAAGCTTTGAAAGATAATAACCTCCAGCCAAGATTGATATATCCTGCACAACTGTCCCTAGAAATGGATGGAAAAACAAGGTGCTTCCAGGATAAAGAGGAACTAGGGGAATTTGCAACCACCAACTCAATTCTACAGAGAATACTGCAGGATAATCTAAAAAAATAAAAATACTAAGATTCCAGAAACGAGTGGCAGAGAGGCCACAATGAATGGAGCAGAAAGTGAAATGAAGAACACAAACTGACAACTAATGACAGAAAAGGAGCTCAACAGAAATGAGGCAGAGAAGGTTGGATGGTAGGGACAGCTATTTTGGAGAAAAGATACAAAATAGCTAGTGCTGATTTAATACCATCTTGTATTGAAGTCCCATCAAGCTTTTGTTCTTCTGTCTCCATAGGTCTTAACATGTTGTATATTATTGGATTTTATTATATGTGATAATATAAATAATAACTTTTATAGACAAGGAGATTATACAGAACCATTGTTCATTTTCTGTTAGCTGATTCTAAATACCCTGTAATACTGTCATTCTCTTGAATGGTTTTACATTGTCTTGATATGTTTGATGCTACAGGTTATGAAGTTATACTCAAAGATATCAAGAAAAGAGACACTATGGAAACTACTTTTATGTTGGGATATCTTGGGGTGAAACACTATTTTGCTTAACTGGTTATGTTTGACCTGCGCTGTTTTGTTGTTATGCCCTCTTTTATCTCAATCTCCTTTTTTGATCATTTACTTTTTTATTTTTAGCTTTTTAACTATGGGAAAAATAAATTAAAAATAGCAAAATATATTACATTAACCTACTTTGATTTCCTATTAACTTTGAAACCCTGTATTGCTCTCACCATCTTGTTTTGACTGATTTTCCTCTATTCTGTTTTGCTTGATATTACCAAGTTTGAAAGTATAGGCAACAGCTGTGAAGACAATAAGATTCATTATGATGCCCATTCTGGTTGACTATTATCTTCCTTTGAAGTCCCGAAATGTCTCCAATGTTTTGGTTTTATTGGTTTTGTTCTTTACTGTTTTGTTCAATTTTATTATAACTGATGATATAGGCAATTCTTTTTAAGATAGCAAGAGGCATTATGGTAACCATTGTTGATCACCTTGCATTTTGTTTTTGCATTATGTATTGTGTCCATCCTTTTGATTTGACTGACTCTGTTTTGTTATATCACAGTTGGTTTTACTGTCTTCAAAAAAAGTAATAAGAACTGTGGGAGTAATAAAACCCAAAAGTGTAATTGTCAGTGTACAAAAGAGAGGAAAAGAAAGTGTTCTAAAGGATATAACTGCATGCATATTTAAGTGTATAAGATAGATAACCATATTACTGAGTTTTGTTGGATTATTGAACAGAATGGTTTGCAGTCTCACTGTTTGAAGGTCTGCTTTATATGCTTTAATTTTATAACTTGAACAATGATTTCTAAGATGACAATATGTAATTATTAACTAGTGATTTCCTCCTGTTTATTTTTTCTGAAATTCTGTATAACTTGTACCCTTTTTCTGTTTTTTTTTCTTTTTCTCCTTAAATAAAATTGAAAAAAAAGAGAAGGCACTAATTGTCCATTTTTTCTTTATCTTGACACCAATGATTGTAACATTTGCTACTTCTCCTTACTTAGGGGCCACAGCTTAACCCATATCAGTTGGATAACTTTCCACTGGATTTCATTTTGCTTATCACCTGATCACTCTAATAAGTACTGCAAAACTGAAATCAGCTTTTCAGCATTAAGCATTTTGTTTTGCACGTTGTCTCGATTTTCAGTATCCAAAATTTCTGCCTACAGAAGCTAAGGATTGTATTTAATTATTTTCTGGAGAGGTAATACTGCTTGCTCGCACTGTGCAGTGTACATTCTTTGAAAGAGACTTTAAAGAGATTTGTTTTTTGTACCAGAGATCAAATTCACAACCTCACACTTAGGCAGGTCCTTATGTTACTGAGCTAAATCTCCAACCCCTTAAAGAAGGAGATCTTACAGAGAGAGATTTCTTTTTAAAGAAAGAGATTACCCTTGTTTTAATCCTAGCATAATTATTACCTCTCCTCACAAAGCATTTATCTTAGTTCTGCACTGGCTGTCTGCAGAGCTGTCTCATGAGATCTGAATGCTGGGGAAATACCCCTATTATATCCACCAGGCAGAGGTTCAGCCACATTGGGTGCCAGCTATTGGAGAACCCTGCAGTGGATGGACTCCAGTCTCCTGCCATGTGCATGGAACGTGGGGTGCAGCGGGGATTTAGGATGATCAGTTGTTCATGAGGAACCAAAGCCCACAAGGCACCTAGACCCTTGGTATTTATTGATTTTCTTTCTGTCAAGGACAATGAATGAAGGGCTGAGGTTATTTCTGCGAATACCAATGGTGACCTCAGTGGAAGTAATGAGAACAAAGGATTCTTTGGAGCATAGGCAGCAATAAGGGAACTGTGGTTTTCCCATGTGCCTTATGTCTTCAGCAGATCTTATGTTGCCCTGTGAGTGTCACAGCAGATGGATTCTCTGGATAGTGTGATCTCATTGGAAAGTGCATTTCACTGTTTGATTTGAGGAAGAAAGAAAGAGTGAGAGAGAGAAGGAGGGAGGGAGGGAGAGACAGACAGAAAGAGAAAAAAAGAAAGATTCAGTTTATACTTCAGATGATCTCTCATCTTAAAAGACAGTCCTCTCATTAGAAAATATACTGCTGGCAAACTGACACTTTATCAAAGCTCCATGACTTCACATATTTTCTAGGGAGTATGATAATGTGATTAAATATTTGCTTGATCTAGTTATGAATTATTATGTGGGGGCTGGGTAAAATGCTAATCTTCTTTGGCTTTAGAAGGAGGCCATGTGGAATGAACACCTCACTTCATAAGATTCAGCCATGGAGAAGGGAAATCATGCATCAGCAGTAGTACAATTTTTTGTAACATTTGGAAACATTGAAATTTAACATTTATGAAGCACTGATAATTCATAAATATTAGAAATAGTAGGGTAAGTTCATATGTATATGTCCATGGGCATAATCTATATATATTTATCAGTTTCCATCTGTGTTTATGAACAAAGATATTTATATAGTTTGCCATATGCTACTATATATATATATGTATATAGTATAGTTTATATATATGTATATTTCTCTACAAACACTTATGCATAAACTACTATATATGTATATATGTATATTGTATAGTTATATATATATATATATAGTTCTTTACAAACACTTATGTCCAAAGTACATTTTTTCAGTTATTTAACAATTCAGTGAAAAGTTACATGATGAATAAAAGTTTCATTTGTGGTATTAATCAACAGAAAGGTCTTATATTCAGGACTAAAGGCAGTGAAATAGAGCTGAGAATCACCAAACATGTTATTACCATGTGTATTTGTTTAAAAATTCTTACAGATTTCAATCCTGAAAAAAACAATGGTAGAATGAGGATCAGAAGTCCCAGACTAGAGTTAATATCAGGTTACTGTCTGGCATCTCAGTTTGTACAATTGGTCTTTAAGAATTACATAATTAATCTTCATTTGTCATAGTAAATATTACTCATGGTGAGCATGATAAATTATGCATTTTTCTCTCACTGTTCCCACAACGTAGAGATGAACACAATAAGCGAAACCTGTATAGCTATGTATTCCCTTGTACCTTTTCCAAGGCACACCTTCTGGCTACTCCTGTCTCAGCTATTTCTTTGACAGGTCTTAGAGAACAACAGAACTGCCCTACTATGGAGATCCATCTTTTTCCATCCTTGGCATGGACTGGGAAGTTTAATCTCATGGTAATGTTATCAGAATTCTAGATAGTTAATTCCGGTCTTCCTTTTCCAGTGCAACCCACAGTGAGGATAAAGACACTAAGACAAATTTATAATTATGGGACACCAAGGGGTCCTCGGTCCAACTACGATAAAGGTTTATCAGAACAAAGGCCTCGACCTAGGGCTTAACCCGGATTTAATTCATTTGTGAAGAAGGGAGTGGCTGGTGGCTGAGTGGCCATGGGAATGGTGGCAATTATGTGAGTGTTGTGAGCTGGGTTAGGTGGGAGGCTAGAAAGCACCTCTGCCATGTGCAGAGAGAAGGAAATGCAGAAAAATCAATCTGTATAGCACAACTGAGACAGCATTTAATGTCTTGCAGACTGGTGCTTCAGTTTCTGATGTGCAGACTTTTCCACCATGGGAAATCATCGCCTCTTATCTCAAGGTTCCAGCCCAGTTGACACTCCGCCATCCCACTTGGCTCAAGCATGTTAGTGGGGTGAAACAGTGACTGTCAGCTAGCTTCAGAGATTATGCATCAACACCTCAGCTAGCCTTTGGGTGAACTGAAGAGAAAAGCAAATAGCTGAGCCAGCTCTATCAGTACATGGAGCCAAGGCTAGGTTTAACCAGTGTGGAGGTAATTGGTCTTTACTGAAGAATTGCCCAGGTAGTCTTCCGTACACTACAACCCTCATTTTATCATTCACTTGCCGTGAATTGTTAAACACGTGATCACACCTTGCCTCCTCACTTCCCTCATCTGTGAAATAGAATGCCAGCCAAGGCCGCCATATTGGTCACTGCATGTGAATCTAACATGCGCAGCTCTGTGGGTTACCTCTGCTGTTGACTTTGCTTTTATTTCCTTTACTACCCTGGGTCAGCTCTGGGGCCTTGTTTTCTTCTCATCTCTGCTCTTTGGACAGAGATTGAAGTTGTATGTGGATGTTCTCTAGAACCCAGGAGAGGGACCCCTTTCAGATACTTCGCCTGGTTGGGTGCATAGGAAGTCACCAAACACTTAGGGAATTGGAGAAGTTCCCCAGCTCCTGGACTAGGCTGAAAGGCGAATTCAGTGAAATCTGTGCCATCATTGTTTGGAGCGTAAATGGGTCATCGCTCCCCGATTCTGAATCAATAACTGAGCATGCAGCTTTTTTCAAACTTTGCCTAATACTTACTGCAGAGGGATCTGCCCTAAAAAAAAACATGGAGGATGTTTTTTGTCAGATACTTAATGGGTGACTTTTAAAGTACTCATTGACTGATGTTTTCATAAGTGTGGAATAGTTTTTCTGTGTTGATTGTTGCACAACTTGCTCCTGGTTAGAAAACAAGAGTTGGTTCCAGGTGAGCCTAGAGGAGTGGCATCAGATTATGGACCTATAATCCCTGAAGGTTTGGGGGATGTGATAGGAGCCCTTTGATTGTTCGGTTGCAGAAACTGAGACCCACTGATACTGACCTGATGTGTTCAGATGCTGCAGGCCAATTCCTGGGAGTGCTGGGGTGGGCATTACTGTCTCTGCACTTTGCTAGCTGTCCTCTCTTCCTATCTCAGGAGGCATGAGCTGAGCAAATGCAAAATATGGAGAGCAGGTGAGGAGCCCAGGAGAATCTTCAAGTATGCAGAACTGAGGGTTTCCACAGCCCTCCTGATGACCTTGAAGATAAACAAAGAAAAGGAGCCTGACTTAATTTTTAAATGTATTTCTCTACTAATCCTCTGCAAATATTCTTACAGTAACATAATTAGCTGAGCAGAACTGACTGTATTTAAGAATACAGAGACTATGGTGGCACAAACTGATAGCCCAGAGCCATTCAAAACCCGAGCTGGCCAAATCAGTATGATGTGGGCATTTATTTTACAAAAACCACGTGATTTCTTTGACAGCTCTTGAAAACAAGCTTTTGCTATCTCCCTGTCAGACTGATTTTCTTTATTGATGTAAGAGAAGAGCTAGCTGAGCAGGGTGGCACATGCTTATAATCTATGATACTCAGGAGGATAATGCAGGAGGATCATGAGTTCCAGGACACCTTGTGCAGTGTGGTGAGAACTGGTCTCAAAAATACAACAAATGAAAAGGAGCCGAGCATGTGGCTGCATTAGGTGTTAATGAATGAATATACTGAATGAATGAATCAATGAATGAAGGAATGGATAAAACAAAATGAGACCTGCATTACATAATGTTATGATTTATGTCTGTGTCCCCCAGGCCTCATGAGCACTCTAGGAGGCTGAGGCAAGAGGATCACAAGTTTGAGCTTTGCCTGCATCATTTAGCTAATCTCAATCTCCAAATGTGAAACAAAAAGAAAAAATTATTTTTCAAGGCTTGGGATGTGGCTCAATGCAAGTGCCTGGTGCAACACCCAGTAATGCAAAAAGAAATTTTAAAAAACAAGAATAAATAAAGCCAGCAAGCGGTAGAGTTTGCAAAAAAGATGGAAATTGCATTGTCTTGTGACTTAATCACTTGGCAATTTCTCCATGTTCTTTTCACTGGAAATAAATGGTTCTATCTTCCTCTCCATTAATGCAATTTTTATGTTCCATAATATATTCATGCTAATAATGACTACCAGGGAGAAATGCTGGGCCCTTAGTATGATGCTCTTATTGAATCCGAGTTCTAAGTGTGGGATTTAATTGTCCCAATGATACTTACCAGGGATTGTTTTCATTATTCACACCACAGAAAGCTCTTGGGCTAAAGGAAACAGCTTGCATTGTCACAGCTAGCTGGTAGGGAGTAATC